AGCGCTTTGATTGGCCCACCAAACTGATGGAGCACTGTGATTGGCCCACCAAACCAATGGGGCGCTGTGATTGGCCCACCAAACTGATGGAGCACTGTGATTGGCCCACCAACCCGATGGAGCACTGTGATTGGCCCACAAAACTAATGGGGCACTGTGATTGGCCCACCACACCGATGGTGCACTGTGATTGGCCCACAAAACTAATGGGGCACTGTGATTGGCCCACCACACCGATGGTGCACTGTGATTGGCCCACCAAACTGATGGAGCACTGTGATTGGCCCACCAACCCGATGGTGCACTGTGATTGGCCCACCAAACCAATGGAGTGTGGCTAGACTGACATGCAGAAGCAAATCATCATTTTGCTTCTGCTACTGTCTGTCTGGATTTTCCCTTAGTTCTTTGATTTGCTATTTATTGTTTCTTTAAAACTTAATAAAGAGAACAATGGACAAAAGTTGTGACAGAAATACAAAAAGAACACTGATGCTTCAGCTATATGTCCGCATTTTGGTTCTTTGTATAAATTCAGTAGGTGTATGTATATGCATCTATCGTTTACGTCTAGGACTAAGTTTTCTTTTTACTTACATTTGTTGGTCAATGTAAAAAAAAAACTAAGAATACCAAATAACAAAATTAGAAAGTGGACATGTACTGTATAACTGGCCTAAATAATGAATAAAGACATCAGAATTAAGTCTAAAAGGTTTTTTAGAAAACCTGGACAACAAAACCTCTTTAAAAAAATAACAAAAGGTATAGAGAAGACTCCAGATATTTGTTCTGAGCATACTGACCTCGGCGTTTCTATAGATAGAACATATATCATCTTCCTCTGCATTTACAGCATCAAGGGGAAAAAGCACTTAAGTGCACACCGATGACGCAGACAACACCATGTGGTGTACATGCAGTATGTGTGTGTTTATAAACTATGAACTTGATGTGATTGTGCTACATGGAAACAAATTAATACCTAAAAAAGAATTTCTCCATATCGGCAAAAAATCAACTAACAACAGGAGAAATATTCAATCAGAATATAAATAGATGCTTTTTTTAAAGGTGCATTATGTAAGAATGAAGCCAGAATGGCATCCAACAAATGAGTGACTTTCTCACTTCCTTAATGGGAGTTTCAAAACTGTTGCAAGAACCAGAACATTCTAGGTGACGAGCGAAGAGAAGTCACCTAGAGTCTTCTGGTTCAGTGGAATGAAGACATTTCACTGTAATACTGAGTATTTGCTTTTAATTCACAGTTAGAATTTTTAGCTCAACGCTAACCTCTAACCTTCGTAACCTGATAGGATACCGAAGCTTCTTAGGGCTGCAAAAAATAACTTCTGGGTCGCTCCTGTTTCCTGGCTTTGGTTCTCTAAACAACTCTGGAGCTTGTTGCCTTCTGGTGTCAAATTACAAAGGCTGGCACTACAGCATTTGCTGGCGCAGACTTGGCAACCCAGCAGGCTCACAGATAGTAAACAAAGACTACGTTCCTCTTTTGTGCTTTCGAAAGAAGAAAAACTGACAACCCCCAACCAGCTAAGAAGGAAATCTGTGGCAGTGTAACCTTCTTTCTAATATGAGACATTAGACTGTTTTGTGATTATTTCACAGCAAATTTCTTACATATTGTACCTTTAAACATCCATTAGAATATTGTTTTATGTTTCAGCAGTCTGAGTATATTTGACACTAAGCTAATACCCACTGGGTGTTGTTTAATTAGAAAATCCAGACTGAATGTAAGCGGTATCGTGTTCATCACCACATGATGCTCACAATTACAACCACTGACTGGGAGATCAATCCGTAGCAAAATATCAGGTAAGATCTGCTAGCACTAACATAATGGTGGTTTCACAGTGTAAATAAAGCTATATAACCCACCTTTCATTTATTTGTTGTAATATTAAACATCACACACCTCCTACCTTGGCTGAGTTTTAAGTTGAGATCATTTTAAGCTGAGATCATTTTAAGCTGAGATCTGATAAAGTTACAGACGTTTTGGTCAAATCTGGGAAGTATCGTGATGCATGATCTGGAGCAAATACATTTTTGAGAAGGACTCTATTTGCTAAGGCTGAAACTTAACCAGCTGTAGACAGAAATCCAGTGGTTATTTTATTAGAAGTGTCATTAAAAATACTGGTAACACTTTACAATTTCTAGGTTCAAGATTCAATTTATTAACGTCAATTACTGCATTATTAAGCATTAATAAACTGTTAAATAAAGTATTAATAGCTGATTACATATATTATGTAATGCATTACTAAGCAATGGCCCTTTAGTTATCAATAATGGTAACATTAGAGACCCTTTTGTTTATTAATAATTTATAATGCACAATAAAGGGACCCTTATTGTAACGTGTGACCAATACATCCAATGCTTCATAAAATAATTCCCTACAAAAATAATTTATTATCAATTTTCTGTTTACTTTTCCACCCACCCTATCACACATCCATCTGATGGTAAGTCTAAATATTAGGTTTAGTTTTATTGTTTTTTTATATATAAACAAGTTTTTAAAGTTTTATTTTCTACTACTGAGTCACAAAGCTTGATTTACTTTAGTTTTGATCAGAGAAGGACAGCTGGCAGGCTGAAACTGGAAAAAAAACGCAATAAAATAAAACTTTAAATGAAGTTTGGAAAATAATTGTGATGAAAAGTTTTTTCCCCCCACATGAAATGTGTAAAATTAAATATGTATCAGTGTGTGTGTATGTGTGTGTGTGTGTGTGTGTGTGTGTGGGGGGGGGGGGGGGTCAAGGTTCATGTGTTGGGATCTTTGTTTTATTTTTTTGTTGAATTTATTTTATATTTCATAGAATGTGTAACAATTTAACAGCCTTTCTTCCAAGTTTATCCGTTTTCCTTATTAGTTTGTTTCAGCCAGTTACAGAAAAACAAAAGAGAAGCTGCGACAGTTCCAGTTTAGTTTGGAGTTTTGGTGAAATGAAGAATAATGGTTTTCTGTTTGTTTTCTAGCTTTCTTTTGAAGTAGCTTTGAATTTTATCTTTAATGACGCCAAAAGCAAAAACCGGTCATAAAGATCTGAAGCTGCTTTTCAAATGACACCATTGAACTTGTTAAATAAACTAAAAGTTCAGCTCTTTCTAAAAATTTTCTGTAAAGAAATTGTGAAGTGATAATATCATACCCGTTGAATAGCCTCAGTTTGAAGAAACAGGTATTAGTTCAGAGTGAACCAATTTGTCTGACCAGAATGGCTAGTCAGAGAAAATACATCCTGAGTGGGATGAAATGGTGAATTCACGGGGATGAAGATTAAATCTGAGATGTTGTTCAGTGAAAACAAATAAATAAACGATTATCCTGTCCACACTCAGAAGCACATAAGTTAAAAAAACTCTTATTCTGTTAGAATAACATAGCAAAGACAAAAAATAGATGGATCAGGATATTTCCAATCATGCACCAATACAAACTGTCATTATGAACAATACTAAGAAGACAGTTGACCTTATGACTTTTTAAATGCACCAAATGGTGCTTCACAACACAATCAGTCATTCACCCATTCACACACGTATTCACATGGTAGTTAGGGTGATGAAACCACAGCTGCCCTGTGGTGCACTGGCGCCACCGGACCCTCCAACCCTCCACCAGCAGGCAAGGTGGGTCAAGTGTCTTGCCCAAGGACACAACCCTGCAACCTACCCATTACTGGATTGCTGTACCCAAATAGGTAAAACTAGACACATAACAATGCAAATTGACCATTAAAACCATCAAAGAGACAAAAGATCATCTTCAGAGGGATAATAAAATAAAGACACGCTAAGAGTGAATCAAAGAAATGATAGCAAAGACATAAACCAGCTAGATCCGGCATGACAAGAGACGGCAAAATTCAAATCAGTCTTTCAGCTTACAGGTTCAAAGCTCCTTATGCTAACGAGGACACGAACATCTAACAAACTCAGGTTTCCTTCATTAATCCCTAGTGAGTACTTCCCAAATGGCCAAACAGAAAGTTAAAAAACACCAAAAGCTAATTGAATATAATGTTTCATCACAGTTTTATTTCCTCTCAGCAGCACATCTGTCCTCTACATGCCGACATGATCCAAAGGCACCGCATAGGTCCTGTGTTTCTCCAGAGGAGGCCAATTAGTGTGCAGTTATGTCACAGAGCTCAATACATTCATTACTCCAATTTCCCCTCTTGTCATTAGCATCCAATCCCAGTTCAGCATTCTGCACACATGCAACTGCACATAGAAGTATTTACATGCCTCAAATGCTGTTGCCCCTGCAGATTTTCTTTTTATTGCAAATTGCACAGGTTTATGAAAAATATGAAATTCAAAGGACTGCTGCCACACACACTTTAAAAATGATGACCCATTCATCGAATGACACCTGCATCTTGTGTGATTACGAGGAAAAGCCTAAAAATGTTGTAAGAAAAAAAAAGATTTGGAATTAACGAAGCACTCTGATATGCATGGCTGCTGTGTCTGGAACACACCATATCAATGGAGACACCTGCGTCAGGCTGATAGGAGGGACTGTGTGTGAGAGTGTTACTGTAGCACAAAACACACACACACACACATTGTACGGGCTTGTTGCCTCCCCTCTCCCCACCTCTTCTGCTCCTTTTTCCTGTTTCTATAGAAAGCGTTGAAGCTGTAACTGCTGACATCAGCACACACACACACACACACACACACACACACACACACACACACACACACACACACACACACACACACACGCACGCACGCACGCACGCACGCACACACACACACACACACACACACACAGATTAAATGTTTTAAACTGGGCAGATCCTACACCTCAGATGGACTCTGGTGGAGATGCTTGTTACACCTTTGTTATGTAAGCCTGCAGAACAAGACTTAGCAGAGAAAAGGTGCACCGTCCAGTCTTACCTGCGGGCATACACAGCTTGCTGCACAGCAGCAGGTAAAAAGGATATGGCCATTCTGTGATCTTTTTGGCGTACTTTCTCACGAAGTTGTCCTCGCTGAAGATGAAGAGCGAGCGGTTGACGGTGAAGCAGTTCTGGCGCACGGGGATGGGGTTATAGAGGGCCATCGTCCGGGCTCTCTGCGCCATGGACTGCTTGTACATTCTCTGGGTCCCGGGTCCTCCAGGCGGACCGTGTCCGTGCCCGTGCCCGTGACCATGACCGTGTCCGTGGGGCCCGCCTTGCCTGCTACCACCGCGCCCCCCCGGGCCCCCTCCGCCGAGGCCTCCGCCGTACCTGGCCGGCACCTCGTCTCCGAACCGCGCCATTCTGTGGACACCGATCTTAGACACCAATCTTCACGAAGCAGCGGAGAAGAAGGAGACCAATGCTCAGCTGTGTGGCCACACAACATTACATCTCATCTGGATCCGAACGTCTCATAAGCACAACGGGTTTCGGAGCTGCTGCTACCACCGCTGAAGCACCGGCGGCTCTCGGTTTCAGCAAACTCGGTGTGTCTCTGCCAGCGGCCAGCTGCGGGTGTGAGGAAATGAAACGCTCTCACCGTGGGTCTTGTGTCCACATGAAGCACGATGAAACATGAATTCCTGGCGAGTCAACGCTTCATGATGCTCGAGTCAGAGCGCAGCAGATGTTCCTGCACCTTTCCAGTCCACTAATTTCTCCAGTCATAGCAGCGGAACGGCGATCAGACACAAATCCAGGCCTCAGCAGAAAAAATTAATAATCAATATTTTGGAAATGATTCTTTTTTTAGAAAAGAGACATGGAATAAAAAGGAGAAAGAGGTCCAATTATTTATTTATTTGGAAACATCCGCAATGTTTGATAGTGTGTGGCAGTGATGTGGCTCCTGCCACCCTACAGCTGCTGGATGAGTGCGCTCCAAGCCTCGACGGCAGAGGAAATCTGACATTAGTCTGATTTAGGAAATCAGGTTTCTGTGATTATTTATAGAAATCTCCAGTAAAAAATAAAGAAGGGTAGAAAAAAATACCGTTTTCTTTGGAAACGTCGGTATCACCATCTCCATGGATCGGGTTGTTAGGTTTTTTTTTCTTTCATTTAGTTGCATCCTCCATCGTCTTCTTCACCTGCGCCGAAAATCCACGAGCGGAATCAGAGGAGGGACGGCGTCGTTAAAGACGAGGCTGTTCCGCCGCCCCACACCCTCTCATGTTGAACTGGAGGTGCAGCAGAGCCGAGAAGGTCCCTCACCATCCCCGCCCCGGAAAGACTTTATACCTCAGTCCGCACCGAGAAGCCCAAATAATGCCCAGGCAGTCTCTCTCTCTCTCTCTCTCTCTCTCTCTCTCTCTCTCTCTCTCTCTCTCTCTCTCTCTCTCTCTCTCTCTCTCTCTCTCTCTCTCTCTCTCTCTCTCTCTCTCTCTCTCTCTCTCGCTCTCTCTCGCTCTCTCTCTCGCTCTCTCTCTCTCATTGGAGTAGCTCGTTCCCCGCGGCCCCCATCCCCCAAGGGAGAGGAGTAGAGGAACAAACGGACTGATGAACGGATGGATGGATCAGTGAATAATCGGAAATAAAACGACCTGGACGTGTGCAACATTTAATGGACAATTTTTCTTTTTTTTAATATTTTTTCACAAGATAAACTGTGAGCCTCGTGCACCGTGACGCACGCAGCTAGATAAGCGAGCAACTTCCAGACGCGTGTCAAGCGAGACGCGTCGTTTTTGTTTCTCTTTAAGGGTTCATCGGGGTGTAGCCGCGCCCAGTTGAGCAACTAAAACCTCCATCTGCTTTTGATTCCTCCATTTGTACATTTGCTACAACATCAATAAATCCAATGAATTAAAACAAACATTTTCAGACCGGCGCTTGTGAGTGTCAGCTGCTGGAGGTGTCCGCGCAGGTCCTGCAAGCTGCAACCCGAGCTGACAATGACTGCGCGCACACGTGAGCGCGTTATGGAGTAAAAATGCGTGTCAAAGAAATGTGAGCGAACGAGTCTGCGTGTGTTTGTTGGAGAAGTATGGGAGAGGCTATTCTTAGCAACAGACATTTGTAAATTAATGGACGAAGAGAGGTCTTCTCTCCCTCCCTCCCTGGAACTGAGTCGAAGATTTCCTCTCCTCTCTGTCCCTGCCCTCTCCTCTCCTTCCTCCTTCTCCTCCAGGTGCCTTTTCTCAATCCCACCAACAGAAAAACATGAGTGCATGTTGAAGGCGTGACCAGCACATGCTCTCTGCGCTATTGCAACAAAACGAAAACTGCAGCGTTGTTTTTCCTTTTTTGGCCACAAACACGATTAAAAATCTGAAATTCTGCAGCGATTTAGAGTAGCAGAAGATGATGCCACAATCACCGAGTACTACTCTCTTCAGGCTGCTACGTTTCCCTTATGAAGGGAAGATAATCTCTGAGCACCATCTGATTGATTCCACAAATAGCCTGGTGTGTGATCGGGAGGTGATGGCGCATAATATGAGTTTTAAGGATAACCAGGAGGAATTGGCTACTCCTCTCATCCCCTGGAACAGATTGAAACAGGAGTGCGGATCGATACCAGCGCGACCTTAAACGACTATGTGATCCGTCGGAGTGAGATCGGTTTACGTTTTGTCCACTCAAGATATCTTCCGGTCGTGAGGCAAGACTGACCCCACCGCAAGGACGCACGAAATCAGATAGATAGATAGATAGATAGATAGATAGATAGATAGATAGATAGATAGATAGATAGATAGATAGATAGATAGATAGATAGATAGATAGATAGATAGATAGATAGATAGATAGATAGATAGATAGATAGATAGATAGATAGATAGATAGATAGATAGATAGATAGATAGATAGATAGATAGATAGATAGATAGATAGATAGATAGATGATAGATAGATAGATAGATGATAGATAGATAGATAGATAGATAGATAGATAGATAGATAGATAGATAGATAGATAGATAGACAGACAGACAGACAGACAGACAGATGATAGATAGATAGATAGATAGATAGATAGATAGATAGATAGATAGATAGATAGATAGATAGATAGATAGATAGATAGATAGATAGATAGATAGATAGATAGATAGATAGATAGGCAGACAGGCAGACAGACAGACAGACAGACAGACAGACAGACAGACAGACAGACAGACAGACAGATAGACAGATAGACAGATAGACAGACAGACAGACAGACAGACAGACAGACAGACAGACAGACAGACAGACAGACAGACAGATAGATAGATAGATAGATAGATAGATAGATAGATAGATAGATAGATAGATAGATAGATAGATAGATAGATAGATGATAGATAGATAGATAGATAGATAGATAGATAGATAGATAGATAGATAGATAGATAGATAGATAGATAGATAGATAGATAGATAGATAGATAGATAGATAGATAGATAGATAGATAGATAGATAGATATTAGGACCACATATGGTGTCAGACATAGAGGTTTCAGGACCATGGAGAGCTCCTCATAGGAAGAAAATGTGGTTCTCAAACCTCGTCCTGGAGTCGGTGTTACGTTGTGTTCCCCCCTCGAGATCTGTTTCTTTTTTACCCAGCTGCAAGTGGAAACGACCCAGTCACAAAAACTAACCCTCACCCTAACCATAACCACCCAGTCACCAAAAGTGCATTAATATAAATTTTGAAAATATTATTTGTAGCACAATTTTTAAACCTACACACCTGGGGACCGGCAGACACTCCCGAGTGTATGCGGTACCAGAAGAGAGGCACCCTGGAGCACATCTTAAGTAGTTGCTCAAAAGCACTAGGGGAGAGATGCTACCTCCGGCGCCACAACCAGGTGCTTAAAACTTTGGCGAACTCAATCTGCACAGCCATCCAGCACAGCAAGACCCAGGCAGCGCCCCAACAAGCTATCACCTTTATTAAAGCAGGGCAGAAGGCACAACACCACCGGCCCAGCTCCCAAAGGGGGCTTCTCTCTTCCGCTCGCGACTGGCAGATTCGAGTTGATGTAGGTAGACAGCTCAAGTTCCCAGAAAGTATCACAGCTATGTCTCTCTGCCCAGATATGGTGATAATATCTGAGTCCACCAAGCAAGTGGTCATCCTAGAACTAACAGTCCCTTGGGAAGACCGTATCGAAGAGGCCCACAAGCGAAATAGGGCCAAGTATGCAGAGCTGAGCTCAGTGTGCCGGAACAACAGCTGGAAAGTTTGCTGTGAGCCTGTCGAGGTTGGGTGCTGAGGCTTTGCTGGCCACTCACTACAGCGAACCCTCAAACTCCTTGGAGTAAGAGGACAGCAACTGTAGAAAGCCACCAAAACCATGCTCGAGACCGCAGAGAGGGCCTCACAGTAGCTGTGGATCCGCGGGGGAGATCCGTGGAGCAATAGGCCATTTGGACATAAGCTGGGGACTGATCACCCCCCAGCTGGGTCACCCGGGTGAGGGTGTATGAAGACTAAAGAACTGAAACACCCTATGACCCCGGGTTCTTCACAGATGGTGTCCAAGTAGCACTGGAAGGTGTATTCAAAGTCTTTATGCTTATTTCAGGGTTATGGTTAGGGTAAGGGTTGGGGTTAGGGTTAGGACACATTTTTTGTGAGTGGATGGTTCTAGGGGGGGAACACATTTCTACGTAACACAGGCATATCTACTCCAACACACTTGATTCAGTGGTTGAACCACCTGTTCAGCAGCTCAGCAGAATCCTGATAATAATCTGCTGAGTAAGACCAGGCATGTTGAAGCAGGGAAAACACCTAAAACATGCTAGCCCTGCAGGACTAGGAGTGAGAACTCTTGGTTTAGACTTTTGCAATAATTTTCTGTCCTTCATAACCATAACAACAGCTTATGCTTCCCAAAAGTGGTCACAAAAACGACAAAAGAGCCAAAGAAAACATGCCAGATCCAAAAAACAAAGACAAAAAACAGCCTAACACACACAGACCCAAATCAGAACCTGAGAGGTGCATCATCTTTCTGTTTGTGATCTTGACACGTTTCCAGCTTTTTTTATTTGTGCTGCAACACAATTTAATGTCTGTAAAACTGTTACTGTTGGTATGTTTCATTGATTTGAATCAAAAAATTGGGAAGAATTGTATCGCATGGAGATTTTTAGGTCTCAATGTTGATGGGTGAGGGACAGTAGCTTAAAAAACAATACTGTTTATATCATCTGAAAGCTAAGAGGCAGCACAACCCCCATTGTTCCTTTTCAATCACAATGTTCAACTTCTAGGATGAGTTTTTAAAAAAACGGTAAAATCCTATTTTAAAAGTGATCCAGAAAGTTTTTAAAACCATTGATTAAGACCACATAAAATAATAAGAACGTTCATCATATCTAGGAAGCACAACCAGCACGTTGACTTCTTGTTAACTCCAGTCCCTGTATATGTAAAATTCTAAAAGTTAGGATGTGGTGCAAAAGTTTATTTATTTCAGTAATTCAACTTCGTTGTCGTCTTCCTCCGCTTATCCGGGTCCGGGTCGCGAGGGCAGCATTCCAACTAGGGAGCTCCAGACCATCCTCTCCCCAGCCACCTCCACCAGTTCCTCCGGCAGGACCCCAAGGCGTTCCCGGACCAGATTGGAGATGTAACCTCTCCAACGTGTCCTGGGTCGACCCGGGGGCCTCCTGCCGGCAGGACATGCCCGAAACACATCCCCAGGGAGGCGTCCAGGAGGCATCCTGGCCAGATGCCCAAACCACCTCAACTGACTCCTTTCGATCCGGAGGAGCAGCGGTTCTACTCCGAGTCCCTCCCGAATGTCCGAGTTCCTCACCCTATCTCTAAGGCTGAGCCCGGCCACCCTACGGAGGAAACTCATTTTGGCCGCTTGTATCCGCGATCTCGTTCTTTCGGTCATTACCCAAAGCTCATGACCATAGGTGAGGATTGGGACATAGATCGACCGGTAAATCAAGAGCCTGGCTTTCTTGCTCAGCTCCCTCTTCACCACGACAGATCGGCTTAGCGTCCGCATCACTGCAGATGCCGAACCAAACGCCTGTCGATCTCCCCATCCCTCCTACCCTCACTCGTGAACAAGACCCCGAGATACTTAAACTCCTCCACTTGAGGTAGGACCTCTCTCCTGACCTGGAGTTGGCAAGCCACCCTTTTCCCCAGTCACCAAATGTGCATAAATATAAATTTTGAAAATATTATGTGTAGCACAATTTTTAAACCTACACACCTGGGGTGTCCCCTACAGGGTGCCCCTGGGGTCACGGTCATAAGCCTTCTCCAAATCCACAAAACACATGTGGATTGGTTGGGTAAACGCCCATGCCCCCTCCATCACCCTTGCAAGGGTATAGAGCTGGTC